TTCTTAAATGGGAAAATGGAAACAGTTTACATATGCAGATGACTATTTAAACATATAACCTTATATAAATTGTGTTACATCAAATAACAGGCCTAGTTTGTTTCACTGGACTTCTTGTGTTACTTAACTCAGTATTTTGATGCTTTCCTTGTCTGTTTTATAAAATGTTGTGAATTATATCCTTCAAAACAATTGACATTTCATAGCTTTCCTTTTTAAGCAATGTGCAGACAAGTCCCCAGCTTAGACACCAGTTTGTTCTTAAGGTTCTTGGGTCAGCCCACAGAAGCCTTTGGACTCCTAACAGAGCTGAAATGTAAGGATGGGTCAGCCCAGTGTGGTGGGCTGTTGTGAGCTGACCTGGAAATGTAACCGGTTGCCCAGGATGTTGTTGCTGTGAGTTAACGCATTCCAGGTTGGGACTGGGGATCCTGACGACACCTCTGCTCTCCCTCGGTTGCTGCTTGCTACTTCGCAAGATGCAAGTCCAGTCTCTTTACTATGAACAGGGGTTGTAAGGGGAGAGAGGGAGGGAGAAGTTTATAGGACATTCCCTATGTCAGGGAGTGATTTATTAATATTCATGGCAACTTTAATGTGATATAGACTCCCTCTCAATTTAATAATATTAAAAGCCTTAAATAAAACTATGCATGCTATCCTATGTGCTTTTTTTATATCAGTAAATAAGCTTATGCTTGCCAGTTTTAGACACAATTATGAGGTGTGTAAAACTGACTTTTGACAGTATTTTTTGCACTGTTTTCTGTTTTTATAAAGTCTTTAGATAATGGTCCTAGTTGTGTATTGTTTATGTTCTCACCTCCCTTGTCATTGCTGTAAAATGTTTCATACGTGCCTTTACAAATGTGAGATCTTTATTCTAACTTTTTTGTAAAAGATATCTATTGACTTCCATATGCAATAAACTTTTTTTTTTTTCCAGAGAAAACAGTTGAATCTCCTTTCTTCTGTGCCATACATGTTTGCGTTAGATGAAAGCACCTACATCCTTTACTTTTAAGGATTATTTTCATAGGCAACAGTGCCTGGTAAAATCTGCTTTTTCACTATTTTAAAGCCCGTTTATTTCTACCCACTTTTCATTCCTGTATAACTTGATCATACTGAAGAATTCGTTTGAAATTTCCAAAGTTGTGTCATGGTTATAAAGAAAAACCTGACAAGGGCAATCACTTAGAGTGAAAAATACATAGAAAGGGATCTTTCCCACCAGTGCCATGATAACCCTTATCAAATGCCAAGTCCCTTCCCCCAGCTGTCACTTCCTAAGACCCTGGACTGTCCACGTGGAAACAGAAGGCCCCAGGCTGCTCTGGGACACCCCCATCCTTGGTTTGTCCTTCAGCAGCTCCTGTCTAGGTTTTAAGAAGGCGGCTCTGCCCATATTTTCAGCCCAGCACCTGCCAGAGACATCCCCAGTGAACCCCTGGTGATGAGGGTGGACACTGTCTTCGAGGAGTAACAGGGCAATAGACCCATTTCTGTGTTAACCCATTTACCCTCCTGGCCCTCCACAGGGAGTCTACCCACTGAGGTCCCGGCGTATTTCATGCTGCGTGAGAATCCCATGAGCCACTCTGGGGTGAGAGGGAATGGTGAGCACATCTCGTTAAACATAGAAATAATTCTGTGTATATGTTGACGGGGGCAACAAAACAATTACAAAAATGGTAATACACAAAGTGCCGGTGGATATGGAGAGAAGCAGAATGGAAAGAAAAAAGGTACATACGCTCATTTGTTTTCTCTTTCATGGACTAAGTACATGGACTCAGTTTATTTTCTTTGGATAACAGAAAAAAGTCTTATCGTATAATTTTGAGATAAACCAGTCTCCTGGTGGTTACTGTTTTATCTCCAGACTCTTAGCAGAGCTGAGGAAGGAAATTTTTTAAGGGAGGTAAACCCAGAGAGCAAAACGTAAACATAAGGAAAACATACACAGACATGCAATGAAAGGACAAAAGCAGGATCAAATATGTCTATTTTGTGATTTTACATCTTGATAAAAATAAATGGGAAAATGTTATCTGACTTACCAGTTAAGAAGCATGATGGAAGAAAAGAGCTCATAATAGCTGTAGAAAACATAAAATCTAGGAATGAAGATCAATGTGTCGGACCTATATAAACAAAGCCTAACCATTTTAAGGCAAAACAGACAAATTGATAAACTCACCACATTCTTGGATAGAAAGACTTGCATTATGGAGAGGTCAGTGCTCTGTGTATCACTCATTCTAATGCAATTCTAATAAATACCGAATAGCACTTTTGGCGGGGAAGGAGGGAAAGGCCAAGAGCGGGCTTGGCCAAACGATGCTCAAGGGCTATGGAGGGCTAAATGTGGGAGAATGGTCAGAACAAGTCAAGAGAACACAGAAGACTAGCCCTACTAGTTACTAAAAGTTTTGCAGTGCCACAATAATTGAGAATACAGAAATAAACCTAAATCTTAAGGTAACGATAATGGGACCATTTCAGATCAGCAGAGGAAAATCAATCAGTAAATGATGCTGCCGTAAGGGGCTAGCAATTTTGAAAATTAAAAATTTTAAAGAGTACAACTGGATCTCTTCCTACTAAATAATTCCAGATAAAGCAGACTTTAAAAAAAATGGTTTTATTTCCTCTTCATTTAAAGATGAAAACATTTTCTTCATTTAATGATAACTTTCTACAGCAAGTGTCATGAAAAATAAAGTTAATGGTCAACCAGGGAAAAAATATTTTCAGGACATAGCAAAGAGCTAATATTCCAAAATACATTTTGAGCTCTTATAAATTATTATGAGAGGGGCACCTCTCATACCTGACTCTCGATTTCAGTTCAGGTCATGGATCTCAGGGTCCTAAGATCGAGCCCTGCAGTGAGCTCAGTGCTCAGTGGGGAGTCTGCTTAAGATTCTCCCTCTCAGGTGCCTGGGTGGCTCTCAGTTGGTTAAGCGACTGCCTTCGGCTCAGGTCATGATCCTGGAGTCCCAGGATCGAGTCCCGCATCGGGCTCCCTGCTCGGCAGGGAGTCTGCTTCTCCCTCTGACCCTCCCCCCTCTCATGTGCTCTCTCTCTCTCTCTCTCAAATAAATAAAATCTTTAAAAAAAAAAAAAAAAGATTCTCCCTCTCCCCTTGCCCCTCCCCCTGCTAATAACTAAAATCTTTAAAAAATAAAAATAAAATGAGAGACATGATTAGCAAGATAGGCAATGGCTGTGAATATCGACGCACAGAAGAAAAACAGGAATTCCTAAGTACAGGAGAAAGTGCCCCATCTCATTAATAAATGCAGAGCAAACAGTAATTCACACAGTAGATTGGCCAAACAATTTCAAACAGTGTGTTGTTATGACGGTAGGGGAAAACAAATACAAACACTGTATCTTCTTGGTACGGGATGCCGTTTTTTAAAAAGGAAATGTGGCCAAAATTAATCAAATTTTAAAAGTTTTCACTACTGGATCCTGAAATTCCACTTCTAGGAATCTAGCCCCCAAAACGCTGCCACCTGAGAGCAAATTTCCACATCGAAGACTGTGCCCTGTGGCACTGTTCAAAGTGACAGCAACCTGGAAAAACCACGTGTCCGTAAATAGAACGAGTAAATTATGACACATTCAGTGCAATGTTCTGACTCGGAAAAGGATGAAGCAAATCTGCAAATGCTGGAATGAAAAGAGGTCCATCTTGTTAAGTCAGAGACAGAGATCACAAAATAATAGGTCAGTGGCCATTCTGCCTTTGTTTTTCTCATCTGTTTCCGTATGTACCTTACATGGGCGTGGGGAGAACTGGGACCACATCAGCACACGGTTTCCAGGGGTCACCTCTGGAGAATCGGACTGGGGAAGAAGAAAGAACAGCTTACTTTTTTCCAGTATTACTTACATTTTTTGAGAAAATATTACATTTATAAAACCTATAAATAAAACCTATAAATAAAACCTATAAAACCCAGGGTGGGGGGGGCGGCTGCTAAGCTGCTTTTAGGCTTAACTACAGAGTCAATTAGCATATTCTTCAAACACTAAACTCCCTGGAGGCAGGACCTGTGCAGTGCTCATTTCTCCGCTCTTGGAGAGAGAGACAGAGTGTTTTGCACACAGTAGGTGTTCAAGAAGCATCTTACTGCACTTAGCTGAACAAGAGCATGCATTCCGCCTGCTGAATCCCCACTGTGTGCAGTTAACCGTGTGTGTGTGGGACATGTGTGTACGTCTGAGATGTGTGCACGGGGGTGTGTGTCGATGAGCCTGGAAGGATAATGTACCGAACTGCAGCTGAGCTGTTTGCAGCTCAGGAATATGGAGGAAAGCTCAAGGGTAAACTCCAGCAGGCTTTAATTATGACCAGTGGGGAAGTTCCTCTCTTTGGACTCGGGAACCTCCTCCAGGAAACAGGGCGTCCCCGGGCGGGGGGGGGGGGGGGGGGGCAGGCGCGGCAGGCGGGCTGGGTCGGGTCCTCCGCGGCGGTTGCTAGCAAACAGCGCCCAGGTTGCTGCCCTCCGGGCTGTGGGAAGCCGGATTCCTGCTGGCCGCGCGGGGACGGATCAGTGTTTGCTCAATAACACAGAGTTGGTAAGGAAAAATTTTTTTCCTTCTCCAGCTTACCCTGGAGGGCTTCCAAACAAGGAGAGTCCTGCATGAGAACAATCAACAGAATGAGGAATGGAAAGTCTGCTTTCAGACAGATGGGGGGGGCGGGTGGCGGGGGGAGCCAAGAAAGTGAAGCAAGGCACCTTTATGCATTAAAGGGATTTCAGATACTAGACCGAAGACTCAAAACAGCCGCACTCCCCTGCCAGGGTGGGGCACTCAGGTCACTTCATTGCACCTCCTTTCTTCCTCCAAGGTCACTGAGCCCTGAGAGCCAGTGCAGGCTGAACCCCGATGCAGAGCAGGGGTGACTGCCCCTCCCGGACCCAGCTCCCACCGCCATGGTGAGCTCCTCCCCGCAGACAGAAGAAAAGACAAACTTCAAATACCGTTACCTTTTTTATTCTCCCTCATCATTCCAGTGTTCAGAACGTTATAATAGACATGAAGGGAAAAATAATCGCATTCTTTTAAAACAATCTGTCCAAAGTCTAGGGTAACAAATGAAACCATGTCATTATCTCTTAGGGCAATGAACGCATTCAGAAATCATTTTGGTACTAAGAGTAAAGATTAAGACCAACTTCAGGTAAGCCATGTGTGAGGTTTAAGGGCGAGTAGGTGTTTTCATTCCAGCGATTTTACAGAAATGCAAGAGTCGTATGTACGCCTGGAAATATTCAAATCCTTGAAGGCTTCTGCACTAGCATTTAAATAGAAACGAACGTGTTGGCGTAGTTTCAGTGGCTTTCAATTTCCTGTTTGATCTCAGAAATGTACGGATGATCTTTGCCGTGAGCCACTTCCATGATGGCGATGGCCTAGGAGAGAGAGAGACAAGTGAAGGGGTGAGAGCCTGGAGGCAGCCCCTTCGCCCGCACCCTGGGCCAACGTAACCCCAGCCAGACTGCTCTGCTTCACTGCACCGGACACCTTAGAGCCCCGTCCTCCTCCAGAGCCTGGCTTTTTTTCTTTTCCTTTTTTTTTTTTTAAGTAGACAAGATTATCTGCTAACCAACTAGTCATCCAGTCTGTACCGCTGAATAAAACATTATTCTACTCTAGCTGAAGAAATGATACAGAGAAATTGATTTCATGACATCCCAGAGACTGCAGTAAGAAACGCTTTAGGGATAGAATTATTTGGCTGTGCTCAACCAAGGAAACAGGCGGTGCTGGAACAGAGAACTTCACACCAAACCTATTTTGATTTTAGTTTACACCGCTAATCCGTAAGACATGATGAAACCGTTCTTCCCTTTCAAAAAGCGCGTGTTTTCCTTGTAATGCATATTCTTAAAAAAAACTTAAAAGTAGTTGCAGGTTTCCTGAGAGGAAGCTGGAGAGAACATATTTATAATAAGGCTTCTTCACAGTTGGGCAATATAAAGTGCAAGAGTTGCCAGGGGCTCCATCATTTCCTCGATGTGTGACCTTGGGCAATTTGCTTAACTACTCTGTGCCTCATTTTCCTCATCTGCAAAATAGGAAGGAGGCCTACCTCTCAGAGTTGTTAGTACACATAAAGTGTTTAGAATAGGGTCCGACATATAGGAAGCATGTCCCAAATGTTATCTGCACAAGTTTATGTTTGCTTTTTTGTATTCAACTGTTACTCACAGAAAAATTATTTCCACTCTCCAAACAGGGAAGTTTTGATGGCCTGTGACTCTGATGGACAATCCTTTCATTTATACCATTCACTTCATAGATCTCAAACCAACAGGAGGCAGGCCAAAGAACAGTGTGAGCCTTCAGGAAGGTCCTGCTTCAAATGCCTCCCCTGCTCCGGCCCCTCTGTGTTCATCACTCCCACTCCTTGCTCAGATCTCCTGTGTCCTTCACTGATCTTGTACCTCATTACCTACCAGCACCTTGCAGCTGTGACCCAACTGGTCAGTTTTCCCTCAGTTCACCAAGACAGTAAATCTGTTGTCTTAGGAGGTAAATTCTGTGGTTTAAAAACAGGGAAGTTTATACTTAGGTCATACTTCTGGCCTAGTCGGGCCCGGACCCTTCCATTTGGGATGTGGGACCTTCTACCATCTTCCCAAGTAGTCTACTGGGAAGAGACACAGAATCTGGCCCGAACTTTCACAGACATTCTCTTACAGGACTCAACAGACTGTCTCAAAGATTACATTTCATCAACTGCTAACTTCCACATAAAGAACGAGAATCAATACTCAGGATGGTGGGGGCACCTGGGTGGCTCAGTCGTTAAGCGTCTGCCTTCGGCTCAAGTCATGATCTCAGGGTCCTGGGATCAAGCCCCGCATTGGGCTCCCTGTTCGGTGGGAAGCCTGCTTCTCCCTCTCCCACTCCCCCTGCTTGTGTTCCCTCTCTCGCTGTGTCTCTGTCAAATAAATAAAATCTTAAAAAAAAAAAAATTCAGGATGGTGATTCTGAGCTCCGGTCAGGTACCAGGTCAGGGCCCTGCCCCGTCGCCCGCACAGGGCAGCTGTGGACACCGAGGGAGGCCAATGCTGCCCAGCAGCCTGGTCTGCCCCGGGTGTGGGCCACAGCCTGGGTGAGTGGAGTGGACGCTTTCAACTCAGAAAGACCCCAGTCTGAAGGAAGGCCTTAGCCTGTAGGAATCTCAATTTTTCCATCAGGAAAATCTATCTCATTTTTAAGAAATTAAAAGAAAAAAACACACATGAAGGTCCTGGCATGTAACTGATACTGGATGAACAGTGAAGACGGTTGTTAAGTACATTTTAGAAACTCCCAAGTGCATAATTATAATCCGAAGGACAGACAAATGGAAGATTCCCTCACCGCGGTCTCCTGACCCACCCCGTGGCCTCTGTCCACTTCCAGAGCTTCACGTGGGATGGGGGCGGTACCCCCTTCTCCCCAGTCACGGGCTGTGCCCACAAGGGCAGCCAGCCCCTCTCGATGGGCACAGAGGGAGGGCCTGGGTGCAGACAAGGCAAAGGCTCAATCACTTGCCCTACTCTGACCTGCCCAGTCCGCCCCCTCCCGCCTCTCTGACCAGAGGTGGCTCAAGAGCCGGTCAAGTCTCTAGGACTTCAGTCACTCGGCGCTATCAGGTGGGAAGGCAGGGGTCGAAGGAAAAAGGGGCCGTGGGGCGCCAGGCCCCCCAGCCCCACAATGCAGACGTACCTTCTTCAGGGCTTTCTCTCCAGCAGCTTTGTCTTCCAGGCCCATGTACAGCCTCCCCAGCTTCAGCCACATGGAGGCCACGTTGAGGGAGTACAGAGGGTAGTGCTTGCTGCAGTGAGAGAGAAGGTAACAGGCCACTTGCCCAAGGCTCCCAAGCAGCTGCAGGCCAGGCGCAGCGAGCCCATGGCTGCCGAGCCCACGGCCCGCTCCCCACCGCAGCCAGACTCCTCCGAGCCCTAGCAGGTGCAGGGAGGGCAAGTGTGGACGGCTCGACCCTGTCTAAGCACCCCAGAGGCTCTTCCTTTCACGCAGTTTGTGTGTTTCTGAAAAGCTACAGAAAAACTGCAGGGGAAATCCTACACAAAAACATTGATAAACACGACATCCAATCCCAGTCCCAGATTTTTGTTTTAGTGTACCCAGAGCAGGGCACTGGGAAAACATCTTTTAAAGTGAAGCCCCTATTTATGAAGACACTAGGCCTATACCCTCATATTAAAAAGACAGTACACCTAAAAATCCACACCCCCGTGTGTCTCAAGACCCCAGCTTTCTGTCACACTCTATGGTATCAGTTGGTTTAGCAAAGCTGCCAGCTCTCTGAAATCAGGAGAACACCTTCTTCTTAGGTAAGCTTTCTCTGTTGTCCAGGAGAGGGCTTTATATACAGCAGGTGTTCTCTCTCCGGTTTTCACAAGGCTGCCGGCTAGGGCCTGCCAGGGAAAGAGACCAGGAGGCAGCTCATGGGTGAGAGCGGATGCGGGGAGAGAGAATGCGTGTGTGTGTGTGTAGGTGTTGACTTACAGACTGGTCTGTACTGCTCTACCCTCAAAAGCCACCTAGAAGACGCACATTCTGGCTATATTCCTGGGCAGGCGGCATCATGCTGCCTGGAAGAAGCCATGGCCCCAGGGGCCCCACAGAAGGCCAGAGCTGGCCTCCCAGGAGAGGCTCAGCAAGCTAAGGAAGGGTCCAGGAGAGCAAGGCCCTGCTGGGAGAGGGACCACAAAGCTAAGATGATCTCATTCTTTCTGTCTCTCTCATCCCCTCCCCTCCAGATCTCACAGAGGGCAGTTTGCATAAGACCAGAGGCTTTCCTCACCCACCCCAGGAAGAAGACAGGCTTTGAGAGCCTCTGTGATGCAGCAAATTGTTTCCAAGAGCAGATTTTAGGAGCTGGCTTCCCTTGAGCTCCCCCTGATGGCTAATCCAGGCAAGGCAGGGTAAGTGGAAGGCCGTGGAAATCCAGACGGGATACAAACTTTACAGTCCCCAACCTTAGAATGGGAGGGAGTGCTGAGGGCTTCTCAGATCCATGAGAGACACCTGGGGTGCTTCTGGGGCACAGGGATCTCAGGTCTAATGCCCAGAGATTCTGGGCCACTTGGGTCTTGGGGAGACCCTGTAAATGTACAATGTGAATGTGTTTAACGAGGGCCCCACTGGTAAGATCTAGGCCATCCCAGCCCTGAAATGGCTAATCAGGGCCGGAGGACACGGCCACAACCTCCATCTGTCACACACTTTAAGGTTTAAAAACCCTCTCGACAGGAAACTTCCCCAGGGCTGATACCCATTATTACTGTAAGCTAAAATCCAACTTGCTTTATTCAGAGCTAGGGGGGGAGGTGGGGGATAATGGATAACCAGAGCCAACGCAATGGTCCTAGCATGTCCCCATTTGCAAACTGGGCTGCAATTTCCAAAAGCACAAGAAGGGGATGGTGTGACTAACGATGGAAAAGCAGGGATGTGAAACCACCACTTACCAATGCATAAGTGTGTTTAACTTGGAAGGATGGGATGGAAAACAAACACGACGGTGGCTTCTTAATACTGATGGGAATTAACTACTTTGGCTACAGCACCCTGGACAGGTCCCGGCAGGGCTCCTGCCCGGCACCCCCTTCATAACCTCAGCCTGCCCTCACAGCTGTCTCTTCCAAACGGCGGAGGGAACAGCAGCCTACACCTGTGCTCCAGGTGTGGGTGCAGAATGGGAAAGCTGTTCTAGGCATGTTCCAACACAGGACAGTCGGAAAACAAAAATAGCGTTCCAAATCACCAAATTCCAGTCCCTGCTAAGATGATGAGAACTGAGCCATTGCAATCACCTGTAGGGCTTAATGATTTTCTGTCCGTATCGCAGGGCTCCTTCCCAGTCCTGCATGTACAGGCAGACGCCCATGGCCTGGTACATCATGTGCAGCATGTACACGTTGCTGTCCTCAAACACGGAGCCCATCTTCTCCTGGCTGAGCTCGCAGATCTCCAGCAGCTCACTAGGGGGTGCTCTGGAGTCAAGGAAACCACAGGCTCTGGTGACTTGGGAGACTGCCCAAGGCTGGGTTCAAGGAATTATTCCATCCATTCTGCCCCTACCCTCACCCTCTGAAAAATTACAGAAACCCAAGCAAAAGTGAAAGGAAAATATTTTTTCTACAAGAATCATATTTTTCTTAAAGAAACAAACTTCAGGAAAAACTGAAGATCTCAACTATTGAACGACTGAAAAATTTTAGCCACAGGGAACAGACCCTGGGTTCAGCTGTAAACAATGTTTAGGATCATAAATCTTCAACCTCATTCACCCAAGCTCAGCACTTTAGTTGAAGCATTTTTAAGGAAGAAGTCCCCACTACGGGAAAGTTCCTTTTTAGACTGAGGGGAAAAAAAAAAAATGTGCCTCTCTCAATTTCCTCTGCTGCTTTTAGTTCTTCCCCCAGCGTAAATGTGATGCCTTTTCAACCTAAGAAAATGCTATAATGTAGTGGTTAAGAATATGGATTATGGTAGTCAGCAGACCTGGGGCAAAAATCCTGGTGAGCTCTGTCCCTTGGGTACAATACTTGCTATCCAGGAGTCTGTTCCCATCTGTTACACGGGGATGGCAATAATGTAATACGCAAAGCCCTCGGTACTGTGCTTGCCTAGAGTACGACACCCAAGCAATGCGGGCCTTCAAGGAACTCTCCTTCATAGCTTTTGACCATTAAACTCTTCTACCACATCCAGCTCCTGACCACACTAGTGAAACAAGGAGAAGTCAGATGAAGTCAACACCACACAACTTGGATGCGGTTGATGCCAAGTCATGGGCGGTCAGTTACTCTGTCCACGTCTGCCAGAAGACATTCCTCCTTTCACGTTCAGAATCCCATGCTCACCCTTCTTCCACTCCCTCCTCCCAGCTCTCCAGCACCTCCTGCAGGTGAGGGGCAGTAAACTTCTGGACAGTTGTAAAGGATATATTTGTAGTGCTTGGCCCTCCGGAACTCCTCGATGACGTTGCGTGCATATCTGACCATGTCACGGATAGTTTCTGCCTTTGGGGGATCACTGAGCTTCCGGATTTCCACCTTGGCCTTATCCTGAGGGAGATGTCCACAGGTGCAAGGTGTTACCTCCCACGGAAACCACACTGAGGGGGAAACCTCTCAAATAGTCTACTTTCCTATGCAAAGATAGGGGCTTGCCCATTCTAAAGTCGCAAAAGAATGCAAGGAAATCGGGCACTGGATCTAAGAAATTCAGTACTCCAATACCTTTTTACAACAAACAAACAAAAGTACGAATTTTCTAGACAATCCTTATCTAAGCAGGACACTTAGAATATGTTTGCTATGGGCAGATCTGTGGGTTCACACATCTATGAATCAAGAGAACAGAATGAGGAGGGGGAGCACAGCCAAAAGAACATGGGTAATGCCAGAGAAAATTTTCCATATTCTGACGAACAGGCTGGAAAGCCTGAAAATTACTCTCGTGTGCTTTTCCCCTCCCCAATTTTCTGAGCAGACATTTCTTTCCAAGAAACAGCAACTTGGCAAATCCTTCTCTTACCTGTACGGTGTAGTGCAAATGTTTTCATCAGCTGTGAGGATCAGGGTTTGAACAGAGACCTGGTGTAACTCGATTTCCCTCTAGCTGTCTTAGTAAGATGGGTTTAAAGGGTAGGAGGAGACGCCCCCAGGCAGACAGGGCCCTCAACTGGTGCCAAGGTGCTGCAGTGCAGGGTATGGTTGGCACCTTTACCCGACCGGGGGCTACCTTGTCTTTGGTGGTGCACTCCTGGCACTCGCAGGTAAAGAAGTAAGAATCTCTTAGCCGGTCGTTCCTGTCTTCTGTGGGGTACAGGAGGTCAATGTAGCTGGTGAATACCTAGGGGGTCCAAAGAGTGGACAATGCTGTCTGCCGCAGGTACGCTGGCTCCTTCTCCTTCCTGGGGGGCTCTGCAAACACCCAAAGGGATGGGCCCCGAGGAGGGCCACAGCTGGGGAGATGGCTCTTCCCTTTAAAACCCCGAATTCTTGGGGTGCCTGGGTGGCTCAGTCGTTAAGCATCTGCCTTCGGCTCAGGTCATGGTCCCAGGGTCCTGGGAATGAGCCCCGCATCGGGCTCCCTGCTCGGTGGGAAGCCTGCTTCTCCCTCTCCCACTCCCCTGCTTGTGTTCCCTCTCTCGCTGTCTGTCAAATAAATAAATAAAATCTTAAAAAAATAAAACAAAACCCCGTATTCTTTTAAGTCAGCAATCCCCTAGTTTTGTCCCCCTCCTTGTGCTGGAGAGAAAGAGCCTCTCTTCCCACCTTCTAGAGAATCAAGGAGTCCCAAGAACAGTAAATGGGGAGGGCTGAGAGCATGCCCAGCAAGGGCATGGCCCCATCACATGAGGAGATGCACAGACCCGACTCATCCTTGAGACTGGCCCGGGTCTGTGTCTGCGCGGCCCTCCTTCAGCCTCGTTTCTTTCACGGCTTGGGCCAGCTCGAACGCCTTGCTGGGTGGAGGGGCGGCAGGGACACATCCACACTCAGCCGGCAAGGGAGCAAGAAGCTGGGCCGGGCAGGCTGGGGCACGTCCACAGAGGGAAGACACAGCCTCTAGGACACCAGCATGCTGCTGCCTTACCCAGCTGGGCCAGAGAACTTGGAAAAGTCTTGCCTTTGGGCTCGCTGGGTCCTCCTGTCTTTGCTTTTTTCTAACGGGGTCTATAACCGGGACTTAGAGCATATGGAGGAGCCCGGCATTTAACTGCCCATTATCTACTCACTGGGACGGCACTTGCTGCTCATCCCACACCATCAGGCAAATGTCTGACCAAACAGATGGATGTCACAAAGCCGTTAGCGTGCCAGTAACCTCGGGCACTGGCAGGCAGGCAGGGGGGACTTGCACAGGGCTGGGTGCTTGCGCCACCAAGCCAAGCTCCCAACCCAAAGGGCAGTAATGGAGACCTCACGGCTCATCTGACACCCTCTTTGAAGGGCAAGTCTCCCCCAAGGCAGTGACTGGCCCAATGCGAGGTTACCGCATTTCCGATCTGTCAGCGTGGGAGGGCAAACCAACAGGAGCAAGCTCTACCCGGCCTCCCTCCTCCTTTCTTTGACATGACAGATGAACACATCGCGCAACAAACACAAGGGCCCAGAAGATGGCGACAGAGGCCGCTCAGTGTCGCTGCGCAAGCGGAGGCAGAGCCCGTCTAGGTGATAGACTGCGGAGTCCCCACCTGGCCCCATAGGAGCCCTGGAGCCTGGTGACTTACATTCTGACCCACTGAGACTGTGTATTTTAACAAAAGAGGCATCGGCGTAGTCGCAAGGTATCTGGAAACCAAGATGCCCCAACCGAAAACAGGCTACCCTCGTCATGATGAATTAAGCGAAGGGCAGAAAGTCTCATCTGTGCCCTGGCCTTCAGGTCCCCGTTTGGCTGTGGGTTGGTTAACAGCTTCTGGAGAAGCCGAGGCCTTGATCATTTAGCACACCGATCATTGCATTTAAAATTGAAAATATCCAGACACGGACCTTAAAATAGCACTGAAGACGATTAAATTGAATTGAGTGTGTGATTATGTTCCCTACCAATTCATGTGTCCTTGCTAGGGAGTTTATTATTTACTTAAGAACACACAGCATCCTCCAGCGATTCGCCAAGCAGCCGTTTGGAGCCTTCTGGAGGCATCTTGGAAGGTGGTCACGGAGGCAGGGCCTGGGAAAGGAGAGGGCATCACTGTGCAGGGGACAGAACACCTGGCTTTCTCCGAGTCCCTAAGTTACGAGGGGGCCTCTTGGCCACAGACTGCCTCCCCGTGCCCTGCTGGTGTGTACGGCCAGCTACCTGAACCGCATTCCTAGAAAATGGTCTCTCTGGAGGTCAGATGTGGAATTGACAGCATGTGCAAGGCTGATGTGTCCATTTGGAGTTTTAACTCTTTAGCTACTGCTGGGCTGGCTTTTCTCTCTTTCAGATAACAATAGTATTGACCTTCTGGGGGGAGAAAAACAGGCCAAAATTTGCTAATTAAAAAAGAAAGAGCTCAAATTCAATGTTTGGTGGTAGAAATACAGAGATGCCTAGGAGCATCCAAAATTTCACTGTGGTATTTTGGCAGGGTTCTTTCTCTGTAAATCTCTATCAATCTTTGTAAGGGACTGAGCTCGAATTTATTCTTTCCTGTTTTTTCTTGGCCACAGACGGAAATGGGGAGCATCGAATGGAAGGCAAAAGCGTGAGGCTCGAAGGCATGGTCATGAACCTGATCACTAACCTGCAGGGCCCGAGGCTGGAAATAGTGCAGCTGCTGGGCTCACTCCCAGCCTGTCTTGCCCAGCGCTGCCACACGGAATCTTCCAGACTGCCCTGTAAAACCGCAGGCGGAAACCCATGGCCCCGGCTGCCACCAGCCGCACACTCACCTCTTCTCCTGGGCTGATCTCCTGTACAGCTCTTACTTCTGCCAGGGTCCCCTTGTAGGTCACAATGACATTGGGGCAACAGCTATGATTCATCAATGCAACGCTGTCAATCAGAAAAGAAAACCCAATTTCCTCAAGAAGGAGGACGGACTGATCGGGCCATCTGGGCTATTTACTTTCAGTAAGTTGCAGGAACAGGATCTTTGTAGGATGTTTAAAAAACAATCTAATAGTTGGCCATCATAGTCTAAGAGGTTGTCCTGCCTGTATCTATATCATATCTAACGTCTCTAACAATATTGAAAAGCGAAATTCACAATTCAAAATGGTGACATCTCGGCCCCCCAAAACAAAACAAAACAAAAAAAACCACACAATAAAAATAGCAGCGACGAGGAATCCCACCGCCATTCCCTCCTGTGGGATGAAGGACTGAAAGCCCAGCGGCCGTGGCAAACGGCTCCTCCACTGGATACCGCACAGGGCAGACGCGGTGCCGGGTCCAAGCGGCTTCTGTTCGTGGATTATGTCTAACGTGTTTTCTTCAGCTGTCGGGAAACCACCTCCGCGGGAGAGGCCAGCCTCCTCGGGCAGGGCCTGGGGTGCCCGGAGAGGCCCTGAGGAGCCCAGCTGCCTCTCTCTCTGCACCTGGATTTCCTCATCTGGAAAATTGGGACATTACTGCTCCCGCTGTCACTGTCTGCTTTTCAGGGACAGAGGAGAGGACAGAGAGACTCGTCTATGTGAGGGGCTTGGAGCTTTCTGCTTATATCAAGGTCAAAGTTCTGAGAACAGAAATTTCTAAACTACAGGGAAAAAGTGCTTGATCTCTGAAAATGCTGCCTTTGAAATCACAATGCCGATGTGATTTCTGCCCAAAGGGATTTTTTCCCCCAATTAAAACTGCCCGGAAACTGGGGCTCAGGTGGCCACGCACATCCATATGCAACATGGCCAGGGTCACTTGCCTGAGCCCTCAGCAACCGGAACCCCGCTCCTGGCTGCCCCAGTACAAAAGAGCAGAGGGCAGCAGGGCCCGACAAGGGCGAGCTGGACCGGGTTTGCCGAGCACCACAGGGAGCAGTCCTCTTCCGCCTCCCAAGTGCTACTGGCCCGAGTGAGCGAGCTACGTGGCTGGCCTCGGGCCTGGGAGAACATGTAGCAAGTCCCCTGTCTTGTCCTTGGGAAGGGTCACCCCCGCCATGCAGCACAGCCCACCTGGCTTACCAACAGGCAATCAGGCCCCGAGGAATCTGATAAACAAATGCACTGAAAGTTGTCACTAAAGGAAAAGCCGCTTTCTAGAATCTTTTGTAGAACTATTAATTCATTTCAAGACAGACTCCTGGATAGCCTTTCAATGAGGGTGGAAGAAATTCACCAAGGCGAAGAACCTAGAACAGTTCACGCCCTTGGTATCATCATTCTCCTGCCATCACTGGACTGGGTAAAACCTCAGACAACACCATTCTGACCCTTGCTCTTCGTCTGGAAAACACTGAGAGCAGACACGTTCTTTCAGGTCTGAAGTTGTCAGGAAGAGCCTTCTAAAGAGGGTCTGATGGCCTCTCTCGGTTTCTCCTTTCTTTTCCCAAGGGCTTCTCCCCAAGACACTTCTTTCCTCACTATCAGAATTCAAACGGCCGAGGACACCATTTTGGCCACGGGGACAATATCACGTGAATAAACTTTTGGTTGCACTGGCCGGGAAAGCCTACGGCAGGTGCCCAAGAGACACGGGCCTGTCCAGGTGCTTCTCTATCTTTCAGACCCGGGTGATGTGCAGATCCAGGCGGCGACACACACACACACCAGGAGCTCACACGTCATCCACAGCAAACGCATGGGTGTCCCCTTTCTCTGCTTCAGCCCAAAGCTAGAGGCTTGGGTGGTGTACGTTAAGTAACCTCGCCAATCTACACTGTGGTTCAGTCAGAGAGGGGATGCAGGGAGGGCTCCTTCGCTCCATCTGTGGAGTGAGGGCTGGATTTCAGGGAACTGAAGCATTCTGAAAATGCCCGTTCCATCAGACACCACGGCAAAGCCGTTTTTGGCAAATCCATGACAGTCAGAGCTATAAAGATCTCCATTTGTCAGCTGGCCAGCCTTTCTTGAATTACTTGAGTATTTCTGAAGTAAAGAAAAATCCTGTCATTCTCTGAAATTTTCCTAGTTTGCTACTTGAGCAGTCTCCCCCCGCAAACTGTGCTGTTTCTACACTCGTATTTTTCAAGAATAAGCAGATGTAGAAGCAGCTCATATCGTCTCTGCATTAGCCTATGGCCAATTCTTGGTTGGCAATTAGTGTTTTCGCTTTGAGTGTAAGAAACCCAAAGATTTCCAAAACCAAAGATACGCAAAAAGCAAATTTCTCAGCAGGGTACAGACTGTTCCTTCTATGCACACTATAAAATATTCTTTAATAATAGCTCCGTACCTAGCAGGACTTAACAAGCAACTGTTCTCTTAACTACTACCTTTGGATCCTTAAATGTATGGGAAATATTTTGAAACCTGGCAGAATTAAAAAGGTGTCTTAATTCACTTGGAGTTTCATGTCTGCCACATGCAGTTAGGTTATTTAAAAATTAAAAAAAAAAATCTAATTAGTGTTAAGTAAGTAAAAAAGAAAAGAAGTGAAGTCAAACTCAGCCTACTCGGGAAATATTGCCGATCCCAAATGAGAAAGCTCTTCATCTTCAACTGTGAAGCCATTACAGTTAACCTGCAGTGAGAAAGGGTGAGAAAGAAACAGGTGAGCTGAAGCTTCTCTTTGGATAGAAATCATTCTTTAATTTTGACCTTTTACATACAAATTAACTAGGACGACGTTCCAGTTTAGGGATGTAAAAACCTTTCTTTTGGCCAAGGTATCCTTGGCTCAAACAAAACTGACCCATCAATCTCATGTGTAAACAAAAGCAGAATCGTTAGGAAGGAAGCACCTTAGTGTAGCCGACCTACTCCCCTACGCACAGTGGCCTGAGGCCACCACAGCTGTGAAGGCTCTAAGGACTGAAGTTTGGAGTTACAATACCTGGAGTCCAATCCCAATTATGCCACAGATTGGCCGTGTGATCTTGAGCCCATCACGGAGACCCTCTGTCCTTGATTTTCTCCCGTTAAAAAAGAAGCCATGACCCATGAGGATGTAATGTATGGGATGGGGAACACAGGCAAGAATATTTTATTAACTTTGTAAGGTGACATGACAACTGGACTTAGAGCAGTGACCATTTCTCAATGTCTACCAGTGCTGAATCACTATGTTGTATACCTGAAGCTCACATAATATTGTACGCCTATTATACTCCAGTAAATAACACATTAACAAAAAAGAAGTCACTTAATCCAGGACCTACCCCATGAGGTGAGGTGGTAAATGGGAAAACCCTGCCACAGCTAATCTAACTGCTGCCCATCCCCTCGAGAGGCAGAGGAGCCAAGGGCCTGAGGCTAAGGAACAGAGGCCTGCCTTTCACGTCTCAGCCCATATAAACCACTGGCGACTTTCTCAGCCTTAAAAAGAAATGTTACATTGAAAAATGCCACGAGCAACTCTCATGCTTGTGGAAGTCTAACCTAGAGCAAGCAGGTACAAATGAGGACTGTACATCCCCAATTTTATGGTTTTCCATAAATTCATTCTTTCTACCGACATTCACTGAGAGCTCTTACAAGCTGGGCACTGGGCACAGAAGGATGAACAGGCCAAAATCTGTCTCGAGGAACACCTGGTCTACTGGGAGACAATTCAGTGGGTATTTTCCCTTTGTAGCTAAGATTTCAGAACTGGAAGGGGGCTCAGTCTTCTTGCTTTTCAAATGATGAACTTGAAGTCAGAGAGGAGCAGTGACTTGCCCAAAGCCAGTGGCAAAGGCTGAGACCCCCGCTCCTGCCAAGCTGCTATGAAGGCTGGGTGTGAGGCACGCACGCTGATCGCTTTCACCCCATGGGCCAGAACCATGCTCTTCCATACTGGAGAGACCACATGGGTACGTTTCAGGCCACCAGATGGGCTTTTTAAAACTAGCATCCACTGAGCGCTTCTTCTGGGCCAGGCCCTATGCTAGGTGCTTCATATTTACTCTCATAAATCTGCAAAACTGCTCTGACATAACCCATTTTACAGATGTGGAAACTGAGGCTCAGGCAGAGGTCAATGATTAAGAACTTGCTCAAGGCCATGTAAGTAGTGAGTGGCAGAACAGGAGTCAAGAGTTCAGACTAGACATTCAGAGAGCAAAGTTCTCAGAAACAGAAGAGTTTTACCCTATGCCATTTTCCTCTGAAATTGTTTTGATCTAGGAATATTAATAAGGCAATTTTCCATAAAATTAAAAGACCAATGTCAAAGGCTTAGAAATCTTGGCACACAGAGAAGTAAAGGCTGTGATGGGTTTCATTTGTGGTTTTTGCAATTCAACATATTTACAACCAGTATTTACAATTTTCAACGTAAAAAGAGATTGCTGCAGGTTGGAACAATGGACAGCCTTTGAAGTCCGGAAGTATTGGGCATTTCTATGCAGAAGACATAATGTACTATTTTTTGTGCCATCTTCAAGTACCCCAACCTGTTGTGTCATCAGGACATTAACCAACTACCATGAACCAATGACCCACAACCAACATTAGGTAAGAGTAAATTAGGATTCTCATTCATTCAACAAAACGTACTAGACCATGAACTATGTGCCCTGCACCATAGTAGGTCCTGAATGATCTACAGACAACCTCAGACCGAGTAGTAACATGCCTCAGCAGTGTCTGCAGAAGGAGAGAATGAATAAGAATCTAGCAACAATTTTCAAAACTGATGGAGGGACAAACAGCTCCTCACTAACTCTAAAGGGTTGGAGACTCACTCCTTTGCCTCTTAGTCTCTTCCTCTGCATGGAGCTCAACTGGATCAGTGTATGACTCCAAATTCCTTCAGGCTTCAACGTTCTACGACCCCTGGTCACTAGATTACCTCCACCCTCCACCTCTCACTGTGGAAGTGTGAGTGTGTTTCTTCAGGAGCAAAGGCTCCTATGAGACAGCGTCATCACTGTTCCTTCCTGGGAGATGGGGATGGGGTGCAAGCCAAACCACATAGCAATTTCTCTGCCAGTTTTCCCTCCCCTCTGAAATATCCCTAGAGAAGAAAAGTGAACTTGCATGTTGTTAAGAAAGATGAATGGGTTTTTTCAAGTCAAATCAGGCATAAGTGCCTTGCTAAAGCTATTCTCATAAATAGCATTTAGACCAGATGTAGGATGCACACCAAAAATACACTTCCCAACCGTGCATATGTCCCCAGTGATTAAAGTGCACCTCAGTGCTGAGGGGTGCAGTCACCTTCTACGGCCAGCCCCTGCTGGGCCACAAGCTAACGCACGACGCCCTCCCACGAAGCAGCGGCACGAGAGGGCTCAGAGGCTGGAACAGAGGACACGCAGCTTGGGGCTGGGAGGCAGGACCAGAGGGTGGCCTGGGGCTGGAACAGCACTTTTCAGCTTTGCTTTAGTTTTCTCTGGGGACACTAAATGTCCCTTTTCAAATTCATATATTAAAAAATATATGTGTGTAGGTGTGTGTGTGTGTGTGTGCATGCGTATACACGTGTATTCACACGCACGCACAATCTGAGAATGGGTATTACGATTTGATAAAGTCTATAAAGGAATTAATTATTTCAGTTGTGTGTGTGTGTGTGAATATATATGTGTGTGTGGAGATATATATACATATATTTCTCCTGGATTTTCTAAGTCAGTCCAAACGTCAAAGTTTCTGAGTAATTTTCACCACAAATATACTTCTGCTTGTGAGATCAAGTGCCTTGATTTCTGGTTGTGAAAATAGGGTCCCATATCTCCTACACCAACACTAAGAAGTCATCAGCATATATTACTGTGCTGGAGGAAAAGGGATTCTTCCTTTCACAGCTAGAAGGGAAAATACACTATTTATTTCATCTCTCCTGGGTTTTCATATAACCATGCCCCCTCTAGTCCAGAAAGAGAGTCAGGTATCTCATTTTTTTTAAAAAACAAATGGCAGATTAGTCAATTCCTCAACTTCCCACTGTCACCCAAATCCACTGTCTTAGGACATTTAGGAAAGTGTGTTGTAAATCCAGGATAATGTGAAAATCAGGAAAATCTACTTTAATGTTCATAAATGGAATCCATTTTTTTTTCTGATGATGACAGTCACAAAATAGAAATGTATCTATAATATTACGTCCATCAAGGAATTCATCCAACTGACTGCAGTCATGCTCATGGTGGTTAAAGTGGATTGGAAAACAGATGAAGACTCACTTCACTCTTTAGAGGTGTAATTTTTGAAGTGGAAGAATTATGGGCACTTTTTAATCTTTTTCTTCTTTTTAGTGTTTAAGATTTTATTTATTTATTTGAGAGAGCGAGCGAGCGTGTGCACGTGCTGGTGGGGGAGGGGTAGAGGGACAAGCAGACTCCCCACTGAGCAGGGAGTCCGAGGTGGGGTCCCAAGACCTTGGGATCATGACCTGAGCCTCAGGCAGACACTTAACCAACTGAGTCACCCAGGCGCTCCCTTTTGAGTGTTTTCTTAAGTTATACACACTCATTGTAGAAAATTCAGAAATTTTCTACAACGCAGGAGATAATCACCTGTGAACTTCTACTGAATCTTTTTTTTAACATATGTATGTGTATTTTCATATTATATACATTTTTATCCTGCTTTTACACTTACAGCTATATCAATGTTTTGCACATCTTTAGACATTTGTTGAAACAAAATATAGAGGCCATATAACCTTCCATCATAAGGCTATGCCATAATTTATTTTCCAAACTCCTGTACTGCTGGCCATTTATATTTCCTTTTTTACTTTTTTTTTTCAGTTTTAAAAAGAACCCCACAATAGACCATTGGCGTGTCAATTACTGTCCACAGTCTCTGATTACTTCTTTAGGACAGATTTCTGGAAAGAGAATTACTGGGTCAAAGGGTACACAGGCGAAGCTGATTGTGTTCTAAGACCAAGATGGGTAAGCAGCCACCCGAGGTCTTTTGTGGAGCTAGAGACGGAAGGTTCTGGCAGGGGAACGTAGCTGTGGGCACCCCTGCAACAGTCTTGCCGTATTTCTCTCTCTGGGCAGGTCACCTTCAACTACAGGTTCGGCTTGTAGGGGAAGACGCAGGCTATGTAAGGGAGAAAAATCGGACCCGGCAAGTCGGGCCAGGAAGAACCACCCTCGCCGTGAGAGCAGCATCTCTGCACCCAGACTGCGCGCAGACACGGAGTGATCGCTGCACCTTCTTCTTCTGCTCCAGCCGTGCCTACGTCATAGCCTCTCCACACGGCTGGTTTCCAGGGCCTCGATCACTTCTAAGTTGCTCTTATCTAGAAGTCTCTCTAATCTTTTTATCAGGCCTGCTTTTGGTAAACATAGACTTTCCTAAAGACGTCTTACCGTCCGTAAAGACTAGCTGTCCCGAGACCCACTCGGGCTCCTCTCTGTGGTGACGTTCCTTCCTTGGGCTATCTGAGAGGGTCTCCCTCTTGGGCACATCTGGGTTTGCCTGTGCTTTATCAACACAGTGTTGGTAGAAGAAAACACTACTGTCAGAACGGAAGGTTTAAGAGAAGAAACGTAAAATTTAATGTGGGAACCTCAAATGGTCTTTCCTTTCAAAGAGCGTCTAGAAGGCCACAGTACTGGGGCACTGACAACCCCTCTGTCTGCATAAACTCTTTCTGTGGCAAGAGGCAGAGGTCAGGTAAATTGCCTATGTACCACCCATCAAGGAGGGCCAGCTCAAAGTCTGCTCAAGGTCACCTAGCAGGGCTATGCAAAACAGGGTCCAACAGGTCAGCAGCCTTGTCATTACAGAAGCCATCAGTCTATTTCCGTTCATCTTTACCGAGTGTGTGCTGGGGAGAGGGACTTGGGCAGGGAAAGGCTAGCAGAGGCTCACTAGATGCTGGCATTCTTACCTGTGCAAAGAGGACCACCAAGCTATCACTGTCCGGGAATTCAAGGTGCTTGGAGTAAAAGTGATGAAGTGCAGCAATATCACTCTGAATCAAGTCTTTCTTCTCATTGTCTAATTTATCCAGATCTGGGGATAAGCAAACCATTATTCACCAGGTAGAAAACTCTGGCTTTCTCGCTACCTCCTTGTCTTACTGTAAATGGCATGGAGGGAGGAAAAAAACAAAAACAAAAACCCACGGAGCCCCCAGAAAATATTCTTCCCCATTACTTGGTGTAACTGATAAATTCTAAGCAAAGAAAAGCATGCTATTTCGTTCTTCTCTTCCTCTGACAGCTGGAAGTCACTCAGGACATGAAATTTCAACTGACCGTGAGCAATGAGGTCAGGAATGAGTGGCTAGCGCTGATAAGCAGCCTCGGTCTAGTGCGGCCCCCTCCCCCCACCACTAGCCCTGGAATCTGTGTCATGGTCAAGGAGCTAGACAGCCCTGATTTAATGCCTTTCAGTAAGGACACCAGCTGTTTACTGAACTGCAATTCAGTGAAGATACAAAAATATTCAGCATGCCAGGAGAGCCAGCAGGAGATAGCTCGGGATGCAGCAATTCATCTGAGAGTTCCTACGTCCCCCTAATGATTTCCTAGTCATCATGTTAACTCAAGGGGAAAAAAAAAAGTTACAGTCATTTTTCAAAACAGGCACATGAGTAAAGGAGAAACTACTCCTTAAAATCCCCAGTACCACGAGGAATACGAGCTTCCCGTGCCCTTCCCCAACCCTGCCTCGTCCACAGACGTGTTGCTGCAACAACTGCTCGGCCAGTCACAGACAGACTTACGTGATTCAAACTCCTTCACAGCCAACAGCTTCTCGGAAGGTGTTCGCTCTGGGTGCATCTGCTAGTAATCGGGAAGAAATCACACAGATGGAGATGTTAACCACCAGGGCAAAGAGTAGTGCTTTCACTGTTACATCGACATGAAGGAAGAGCACTGATTCTCAATGGAGCAAAGAAGACTCTCCCAGGAGTCCTGCCATCGGGCGCCGAGAGCGTCTGCCCAATGCCCAAATCGGAAAGACTCTTCCGGAAAACTTTCTAAAGCGGCTGCCACATTCCTGACACCCTGACAGCGAGACGTGCACACAGTAGGCTCAAAGATGCCTGCTACGGGAAAGAAGAGTGGCGAGAAATCAACTTTTTAGGGACCCGACTTAAAAGGACTCAGAGTGTACAGAGGAACCATCCTATTTATTATTTCTTCTTCTAAAAAGGAACAAAATCAAACCCCCCATCCATTTTACACTTTCTTTAAGCATAGGCTAAAATGATCTCAAATTCTGTGTTTCAAAAAGAACACTTTTGGTGGTATCTGTGAGCCCAGATTCACTTTAAACGTGTTGCTGGCTTTGTTCTAGACACCCCAAGAGGAGCTAACAATAGTAAACCTGCTAGGCTTTGAGAACATGAATAAACTTGGTGTTGACAAGAGTTCAAAAGCAGAGCTCAAGAGCTGGCCTGAGGCCGTGTCTTTGTCATCTGGCTATTCAATCTGGGGATACAGGTGGTCTAGCAGGACGCTCTCACCTCCCTAGTTAACATGTTAAGCTTCCCCTTGGTAGTTGGGTAGCCTGTCTCCCCTAATCCTTTGCAAGCCACTAGAATACAAATGGTCTGGTTTTTCTAATCATCAAGTCCTACTGAGATGAAAAGATGGCCAGGTAACTTTTAATTTAATAGACTATCAGTAGTAATAGTAATTATAATACAAGTTGAATGGAACTGGCATAAACTCATCAGGGCCTTCAGACCACCCCTCCTGGTGCCAAAACATTTCCATTGTTCTTTTTTGGAGCAGAAATCTTCCATTCACAGGATACATTTCTGTAAGATTAGTTAAGTCATCTTGCCTGGGAAAGCTTTTCATTCAGGAAAGTACACCAGCTTCTTCTGAATTCTTAACCACAATACTATAAATGTCACCAAAGAGTGTGAGGCGGGGCAGGGGAGAACCATCAGACTGGGCACCGCACCCTTCCCAAAAGACTCACAGATCTTACTGCGATGGCCTGTTCACCCTGACACCACGCCCAGGCACACCACCTCCTACCCTTTCCTCCTGACCAAGAACTCAGCGTATATTTAAAAGATAATTGTTAGTAAGGACTCAAAAGTTAACATCCTCCTAGGAAAACAGTTTGGATGTTTTTGATCTCACCCTACAGGCAACCCTTGAATCCTCTGCTTATCCCGGAGCAGATAAAGTGGCATTTCAGCAAGCACCTGACCCACGCCGCACATAATGGAACAATGACCTCAGAGTTTGGAAATGTTCTACCTCTGTTTATGCGGCCCAGAATCCTAACTTGGGCCGGGGACAGATATGTGCCAATCATTACAATCCCATTTGGCTTAGATAAAAAATAGGAAGTTTTAAAGGGAGGCAGGGTGGCAGGTATAAAGAAGAAGTGGATGAAATTTCAGCTTCAAGACATGTACAGTATTGGGACGCCTGGGTGGCTCAGCTGGTTAAGCAGCTGCCTTCGGCTCAGGTCATGAAGTCCCAAGGTCCTGGGATGGAGTCCCGCACTGGGCTCCCTGCTTCTCCCTCTGCCTGCCACTCCTCTTGCTTGTGCTCGCTCTGACAAATAAATAAAATCTTAAAAAAAAAAAAAAGACACGTACAGTACAGAAGCCCTGCCACCAACTTCTTAGTAGCAAGCACCTCCTCGATACGAGCAGGCACCTCTGCAGATCTATGCCTTCTGAGCACCATACAGCCTATTACACTGTGTCACAAGGACATGTCCTACGGTGCTTCTCCCCCATCTTTTAGTTTGGTCCTTTGAAGATCTGGCACCTCATTAGCCCTCAGTCAGTAAGGACTGACCAAAAAAAGGCGGAGGATTCCAGTCCTGGCGTCATCTTTGGAGGAAACTGTTCATGGCCATCATCTGTTCCCCTTGGGGGCATTTCTTTCTCTACTACTTCTTTCTTTTACCCTCTTCCTCTCTCACTTTGCCTCGATTTCTACTTTTTTCCACTCCTTCCCCTTCTCCTTCGCATCTGCCATGCTGGCTGTTCCATCCCGTTCCCTGCCTGCCTAGACGAGAGCAAGTAAAGAGACGGCGACGGGGAGGAATAGGACGCTGCTGGGAGGAGGGACAGGGAGCAGTCCGGGTGTCAGAAAGAAAGGGGAAAATCACAAAGCTTCTCAGGCCAGTCTGGTTCCCTAAGATGCTCCAGTTATTTTCACTCAGGTCTTCACGCTATGAAAGGCCGTATTCTTCTATGTAAACCTGTCTCATAAAAAAAAGTTCAGAATTTAACAGCTGTGGCTGCATTCCTGACCTGGGGTAAGTGACATCCTCGTTGCACAGGGCAAACAACAAACCAGCTTCTGCCTGGAGTGTTATTCCCACGCCTGTCCATAGGGACGTGACGGGAAATAGAGTCCAAGAATGTTTAACAAGAGACGGTCACCACAGGCCACTCATCTTTCTGACCTTTAAGGAAAAGAAAAAAGAAAGTACACTTGAACACCATCCCATTTCCTCACCTGTTTGGCCAGAATCCTTGCAGTTAGCCTTACAGTCTCTGAGGGATTCCAGTTTTCCCCAAAAACAACCATGGGAGAACATTCCAGCTTGTGCATGGGCCAATCTTCTTTCTGGGAAGGTTAAAAAAAAAAAATGATTAAACACGCACACACAGGAATAAAGTTCAAGAAGAGAGGATGCAGTAAGTCCTTCTAGTTAAGGTCAAGTGAAATATGTTTCCTTTTGGAAAACACGGTGAAGCTCACAAAAGCTAGAGATAAAAACATCCTTTAAGATAGAGACGGTTGTATGACCTTGACTCGGGCCTGGCCAAGGTTGTTGGGATGAGAAAATCTGCTTTGTGTTTTTTCATCAAGCCTCTCGTCTTTCAGCAGCCTCTCATTATTCCAAACAACGCACACGGCTTTCCATTATCTGTGGGAGTTGTCAAACTGCAGCGGTGAGTGATTTGGGGTATTAGCCATTGATCTGGCCCTGCTCCCTCACAGTCCTGTTCTGCTTCTGTTCTCACATCAGGGCAAATCACTGAGAGCTGCACTCAGCAACTAGTCTCCTTTTATAGGTGACAAAAACAAAACACAAATGAAGGCTTTGATAGGGGCCCCCAAAGAGTCTGGCAGAGGCAACTACTGGGCATATTCAGGAATACACATTCCCTGAAGATTCGTTTGACAACATAGGAACATTGTATTTCTTTTTGTCCCGTCTTGACACTCTATGCTCCATACAAAGGGTATGTGCTCACTATTGGCAGGGCAGAGACACTGTCCGTGGGGATGGGCGAGGCTGAGGGAGGAAGGACACCGTGGTCCCGTGGTGGCCATGGAGGACAGGAGTCTGAGGGCTAGGGGAGGAGCTGGTGATGCCCTCGCTGGTGGCAAGGGTGGGGGGATGACTGAGAACGGACTGGACATCATGGAGGCCATTGCTGATTGACAAGAACCAGCGGTGCTGGCGTGATGTGGTCAGGGGCAGGTGGGGGTGTGGGGGGGACTCCAGGGAGAGCCAAAGCAGAGCTGGAAACTGGGAGGAATGGGTGAAGGCTTGGGGGTGAAAGGAGGAGGGAGGATGACTTTTGAGGTGGGAAATACCACAGCACATGATATACGGAGGGGAGTCTGCAGACACGCTCTCTCTCAATGGAAGTGGGCATGTCCTGTTCTTCCCTCAGCTTTCCCCACCTCAGAAAACAGCGAGTCTGTTCTTTCAGATGCTCAGGCTAGAACCCGGGGTCATTCCTGCCACCTGTCTCCCCTCCCACGCTCCCCAATCACTCCAGCACATCCATTTTCCCTGCCTTTGAACAGATCTAGAACCTGATCACCCCTCGCCACCCCACCTTCCTACCCTGCTGCAGCCCCGACACCTCTCACCACCAGGGCTGCGCATGCCTCCTACCCGGATGCCTGCTTCTGCCCCTGCGGACAAGGCTCAACAGAGCAGCAGGCTAGTCGATCCTGCTACACAGGACTCAGATCATGCCAGTTCTCAGCTCAGAACCTTCTAATGGCTTCTCATCTCAGAGCAAAAGGCAAGGGGCTTAAAGATGACTGAGAAGCCACTCATGATGGGAGCCCCCCCTCTACTCCTCTGACCTAATCACCTTCTACCATGCTCTCTCTCACCTCAGCCCCCCCCGCTGCTCCTTACACAGACCGTGCATACTCCTGCCTTAAGACCTTTTGCACCTGCTGTACTCCTGGCTAGTGCCCTCTTCCCCTTGATATCCATTTTGCTCCCTAACACTTCCACATCTCTGGCTCAAACGTCACCTTCTCAAATGCCTGCCATGAATACCCTACTAAAAATAGCACACGCCCATCCCTGTCCACTTCCTTGCTCTCTACTTCTTCTTAGGCACTTCTCACCACCTGATATACTACATATTTATTAGTTTTTTAGTATCTGTCTCCCCCTATTAAAATAAAGGAACTCAGTCTGGTGTGGGTTTTTTCCCACATTTATAACCCCAGAAGCTAGAACAGGGCCTTGCATTTACGAGGTCCTCAACAAAGTTGCTGCAAGAATGAAGATGTCTCCTTGTCCCCTGCCCCCCACCCCCACCCCAAGAAGGAAGGACATGATGTCACTTCATGATTTAATGCACTACGTGGCACAGGCCATTGGCTCAAGTTCTGTGCCAAGATGTTAAATAACGCCCTGCTGAACAGAACTAAAGGTAGGGAGAGAAAGAAATGACGAGATATGCACAAGGGAGAAGGGGATGTGTTTTTAGCCAAAGCCTGAAATGAGAGCAGGGCGATCAGGCAAAGAGGGAAAGACCAAGAAGGCTTCAGGGCTTGGGGCATCTGAGGGGAATGGGGACCTCCAGCTGGAGACAGATGGATCATTAACAACCATGAGCACGTGTCCAGGGTGAAACCAGGAATTCTAAGAGGAGGCCTTTGCAGGGCCTTTGAGATACTGGGTTCCTGAACAGTAGGTCTTGTCTTCGGTGTTCAACAACAATGACTGGGAGAAGGAAGGTTAATACTAACCTTTCTTACCATGATTTATCTATTATTTACTAATAGAATTCATTAGCAGCTTATAAAATCAATGTTAATATCAACAACACACAATGCTGACATTTACTGATGTGCATGTCCTCAAAGGGAAGGGAGCCTCTGGGAGGAGAGCAGAGTGCCGTCAAGTCAGTGGACCCTGGTCTGGGGCTCAGGAAACCTGCTTTCTTGCCCCCGCTCTGCAGCTATGTGACACCAGGCGGACCTCTTAATCCCTCTGCAGCTGTACCCTTGGCTGTCAATAACGTAATCCCTAAGTTACTTAGCAGGTCCAGAATTCTGAGGCTATGATTTGACACTTTCCGACAGTGATAATAAGATCGGAAGCCTGAAGAGGACCAAGACACGTAAGACCGTCGTACGGGGACAATCAGGCATCCGTGCAACCACAAAGGGCCCCCATCAGAATCCAATCAGCTCATCCACGAGAAGCATTTAAAACAGCGCCTGGCACGTGGTGCACCCTTAAAACACGTGGGTACCTGTTCATTCACTCGTTTGTTCGTTCGTTCGCTCATTTATTCATTCATTCAATGAGCCCTGCAACTGACCCTAGAGGCAGGGAGGGAAGAAGTAGTCTCGGACGTGAAGTAGTCTGTGACTGTGTCCGGAGACACGTATGTGACACAGATCCATACAGCCATGAAATCAGAGCGCAATAAATTCACTGAAGTATGCAATCACGGATGTGTCATCAAGGGAAATGTCCCCAAATAAGTTGTCACCTTCTTCGGGAAGGTGGTGAGAGATGTGGATGAAGGGAGGAATGACAGAGATGCACCTCCACGGCACTGCTCTGTTTTAATTCTTTAAAAAACAAAAAAAAGGTGGGAGGGAGGCTATCACGTGGCAGGAGCGTCAGTTAGGTTCTGAGAGCATCAGGACGTGCCGTCTTCTGTCACAGGGATGGTCCACGTACCGGAGAGAATCTGACAGTCGCAACTTGCCCTGGTTTTGACTAGAAAAACTTAAATAATCAGAATGGACAAAATAGGAAAAAAAAAATTAGGCTATCCTGATGAATAGGAATGAATAGTATCAATGAATACTTTTTGTTTTATTTTGTTGTGCTTTAGTATTGGGGCGGTTTCTTCGTACACAGAGTGGTTTTGCAAACGCTTATGCTTTTTAAAACATTTTTGTCAGTTTTTCTAAAACTTTTTCGAGTATTTTTCTTCAAAAGTCAAGCTATTTCTCCTGTCCTAATTGCAATCTTTTTACAATTTTATGTAAACGTGGATCCTATTTGTCCAGAAAAGTAACATACAAATAAACGGACAGGAAGGACTCAGACAGATACCAAAGTGCTAATAGTGATTTTCTTGGAAGGACAAGATTATGGATCCTCTTTCTGTTCTCATATCAGACTACACTTCCTGATTTTTCTAAAATGAGCATAGATTATTTGTGCAATGAAATTAAATAATTAAATCTATGTAAAAGGAAGATACAGAAATTTCTGTACCCTTTTTAAACTTCAAAGTCATTTTCAGCCAATGTAGTAACTGCTCTGCATGATTTTCCTGTTTGTGCACAGACAAAAATGCTTCAAGACGAATAAAGAGTTGTGAAATCGTCTCATGGTGAATGCTGGTGCACCCTGGAAGAAACGACTGACTGTTATTCCGTCCAGTTTTCTGCTGAGCGAAAGATAATGCTGTCTGCCTGGACAAGGAGATTGGGTTTTTATTGCGAAGTCCCCTTTCCTAACTCTTGCACCTGGCATTTCTCTTGCTATAACGGAGCTTTCAAAACAGAGGAAGTCTATGTGGACAAATGCATGAAGCTTCCTGAAATGTGGAACAGTAAGAAAACCTCATGGGATTTCTTCTGCCACTACCATTTCATCAAGGGGAAGAGTGCAAAAGGAGTCAGGTGCACCCTGACCAACTCACACGAAGGTGACTGAGGCTGCTGAGCCCCCATCACAAGGATATGTGCTTTGTTTTATGTTCCCCTGCAAGAGCCATGGGATGGGCTCATTCATTCATCCACATGTTTTCCCACCGGTGATGTGAAACATTTAGAGAAAAGAGTGATCAAGTTCAAGATGCTTCCTAGGTTTGGGTTAAGGAACCAAAGTGAATTTAACCAGGATTGAACCTACGACTCTGGCCCCATTCACTAAATCACCCATAACAAGAAGGTCAAATGAGCATTTCTTAGGCATCTTCTACACTTCAGTTACTCTCGCGTCAATGACAAATGTCACACATTTTCTCACGTCCTCAGTCACAAGCTCCTCACACATGCTTTTTTATCCCCATCAGGGCACACCCCTTACCTTCAAAAACACACTCACAACCCCACCTCCGTTTACACATCACAAATAGTTTCTTCTCTATTTGTTAATGTTAAGAAATAATACCCTAGAAAGTTCTATTCTACAATGATTCCTCTATAAATTAACTTTGTAAAACTCTTCTCTTGAACATGTCATGGTGCAATTTAATGAAGAAGTCTACAGTGAGGAAATAATATCTTTAGCTTTCCAGGCATATTTATAAAAATAAATATAGTTCATTAAAACACACTGGTTACAAAATAAGCCTAACTAAAAAGGAACTTCTATTTCTTTTATGTTTCCTCCCATTATCCTTTCATGCATCATCAATTAAAATCTTTCCTCTGGCAGGATCACACGGAGTCAAGTGAATGAAGAGAAAAGTAAATGGGACAAGATATCACCAAATTGTATAAAATAAAGCGAAATCCTAAAGCACTGCAGTTACAGAGAGGGCTTGGGGAGAGTGCACATAGTGGCTGGGGTCTACTGAGATGCTGTACTCCCTGGGAAGAGGACACCCTTGGGGAGGAGCGTGTGCCTTAGCACTCTCGGGGAGATTTTTGGCAAAGACGACACCAGAAGGGCCTCTCCCCTTTCACGTCCACTGAAGGCCACTTCTCTTTGACATGTTCCCATAGTGGCCCCTCTTCCCGAGGGCCCTCAGGGACCCCCAAGCACAGTGCTGGAAAGTGGTGACAGCCTTCTGCCAGCAGTCTGTACAGCCTAGTCCCCACTTCTGCCACTGTGACCTTGGGCAGGTCACCCAATCATTAGTGGCCACTGTTTTCTTCTCTACTCATATGCTGGACCCGTTAACCTTCACTCTGACCCCCACCCCACCTCTGCTGTTTGATGCCCAGGCCTGCACCCCAGGTGGGCGGGGTCTATGTGGTCGTGGGGAGCAGCCGAGGGCCCTGGTGTCTTAGGTGGAGAATCACTCAGTCACCTGCCTCTTCCCATCGATGCCCTTGTTTTGTACAGCACAGCTCCCCCTTTGATCCCACCCAAGCACCCCCTTAGGAGGAACCCTGAACACACTTTTATCTGGAGCAAATGCCCCAGATTCCTCCCTAATGATTTTATGTATGAAGCTCCGGAACTACCATTTCTTTCTAGGCACTTTTATTAAACTCTTAGGACCATTCTATGTCATTACAATCCACTGCCCTGCTCTTACTTAGTTCTTCAGCACAAAAGCATGGCAAACCTCAATGGCCATTAACCTCTCCCTTCAACAAAAGGAGACAGGTGAAACGTACAGATGAAATCCAGTCTGTCACCTCTAGCAACAAGTGGTATCAGGAACCAGGTATCACTTGTCATCTAGGAGGGTACTTTGGCCACTAGATACTTCACAGAAGCATAGCAAAACTGAATTGCAGAAGTACTCTCCAGGGCTGATGGGGCCCTGGCCCAAACACTGGGTAACTAGCAGGGAAGACTCTCCATCATGAGGTTGGACATAGCAAGCTGCCTTGGCCAAAGGCCTTTGAACATGACTCAGCATCACAGAGCAGTACCCTCCACTCCGGGCTTCCCTGCTACCCAAGCAAGCTCATTAAGATTTGACTGCCTGTACAATCTGTCCACAGGAGGAGAATGTACAGACTGTCAAACTGCTTGTTGTAAAGTGATATGCAGGCATCCTGGTACATCCAGGCCGGCATATTTGGTTCGTGCGAACCCCCCTAGGGAGAGCGCCCCTCACTGTGTGCTCACAGATGAGCTTTCTGAGTCTGCAGCTTTGGGAAACTAGGTCCTGAAGGGCAGGGGACCCACATGGGCCACCTTGAAAACCCCACTGGACCACAATGGTTCATCAAAATAGTGTCATCCAGGGAGGCGTAATGGAAGAGTTAGCAGCATGATCGGAAGACCCAGAGATAACTTGGCATCTCACGCAGTCTGATACTTTCTATTAGTGCAGTGTTTACAGTTAATCAGAGAAGTTAAGACTCATTTTGCAACAAGCATGACTCACACAACAGTACACCATTAGTGTTCTCAGGTTTTTAGAATCCATCCATTCTCTTGGGGTAAAAGAAACAAAAACAAAAAACCCAAGTCCATCAAATCTAAAGTATGCTGTATACTTTATTCTTTGCACAGAGCTAAGCTTCGGTCCAGCCTAAATTACTGTCATAGTATTTCCCATATGTCCTCACACCTGTCCACAGCGTCATGATTATAGAGAGCTTTCATAGATCTCATAACACTAGGCCCCTACCATTTGTCAGGATAGGCACTATTGCCTTCATTCATGTGTGAAGAAACTGAGCTCAGAGAGGTCCTGTGGCTTGTCAAGTTCATGGAGATAGTAGACTGCAGAGTTAGGATCATCTTCTATTCCGTGTTACATTGTCTGAACTCTATGTGATATTCCTATCTTGCTTCTTCTCTAAAGAACCAGAATGTAATGAGTTAATTTTTCTAGAAGTATTTAACTTAAATATAGAAAGAACTAACTTATCATTCCTGGAATCAAATTATGGAATTCCCAGGGCTCACTGATCTCCCCAGCACCAAAGCAATCCAACCACAGAATGTTCTATCCACAACTGGTAGGAGCAAAGTATGATCTCTCCTCCTCAAAAGAAGTCACACTACCTGAAAACTCAGTGATAAGCCCCTTTATATTCTCGCTGTCACACAGGCTGCCCATCTCTGGAAGCCTGCGGTGGGAGACATAGGGGAGTGGGCTGTGCACAGGGTCTGCAGAGCCAAGGGAGATGTCCCCAGGCCAATGGCTCAGCCTGTGCTTCATTCCAGCAAGGGGCCCGTGTGACTGGAGCTCTATGGTCAGATGGGACATCAGGGCTCAGCAATCTCTCCCACTGATAAATAATAATGCTCTTTGGGGATTTTTCAGAGGCCAACTGCATAGGGAGAAGAGAAAGAAAACAATGAAGTAGTGACTAATCAGAAATAGATCAGGGAAGGCGGTGGGGGGGGGGCGGGGAACAGTGTGGGAGGTAAATGACACCAAGCCTGGCAAGAATAATCACCAAATAAAGAGGTAAAGACTGTGGAGAAAATCCTGTCACTTAGAGCCACTGTTTAATAGCATCAGCATTTCCCAGGTTTCCATTTAAAAAAATAGGTTTCCATTTAAAAAATAAAAATAGACTAAGGAGGGTATACAGATGTCAAAGATCATATTCTCCCTAAATTCAAATTGTTAGAACATAGAATGCATTTTCTGTGGAATACCTATGAACATTCTGTGAAACATTCAGAATCTAGCAGACAAGTATGGAAAACAACACTCCTAGTCCCTCAAAGAGCTACCAAGAGTTCCTCTAAACTCCTCCTTGAGCTTCCCACTCCCACGTTACAGGATTCCCTGGAGACTTACCCATCGAACCAGATGGCCCACGGTCTATGCAGCCCACCTCCTGAGCCTGCCCAACCCTGGCTGCTTCCAAGGCACCAGCTCCAAGTACAGATTCGGAGCAGCCACCCCCGGGCTGTGCCAGGGGCTCACCGAAGTCTAGCTGGACTCAGACCGGGTTTGAACAGGCCAAGGGCGACATGAGGCCTACTTATGGGGATTTATAAAAATACAGACCTGTGAGGTGTAAAAATTAAAATATTTTAAAGATACCATTTTAGCATTTTTCATTTGTCATCTCCACAGTGTTCCATCTGCTGCTGGTGGCCTTGGGGGCAAACTGTCAACCTTGGTAATACACCTGCCTGCACCCAACATGCCCTCCTCCAGTCTTTCCCCTTCTCCTGCACCTGCCTGTGGCCCCAGAGTGTCGCTGTCTATCCCTGGCTGCCTGTCAGTCCTGGGCCAGCACTCAGGGGTATCCAGCCACATCCGAGGCCCAAACTAAGCTTTCCAGGTCTGGCTGCAAAAGGGTGCTGGGAATGGCGTAACAAGGAAAGGAAGGACATCAGGGTCCCAGTCTTCAGCAGAAACAAGGCCCTCCCTACCAGTTGGCCCAGAACCTACCTGACACTCCACATTGCAGTAAAATGCCTGCTTGCATCTTCCACATTTGGACAATCCTTCTTTCCTTAAAAACAGAAAGGGCACTGTAGTGGCGAGAGGCACAGAAACGTGAAGCTGCACATTTTATCATGCAATAATAAAAGCCATCTGGTCGGGAAGCAGAGCCAAGATTCACCTTACCTTACTCTCCCACTGATAAAGTGGCATTTTCCCAAGGAGAATTTTGACCAGATTCAGTCCTTGAGTAGGAGTAAGTTAGTCAAACAGTACATACACCAATGTTTCCTGACCCTGACAGTGGGAAGGGCACCTTCCAAATTGACGAGCGGTGTGCTCTATGACTCATGAGCCTGGCCTGGGACACCAGAGCTTCCACATCACCTGTGGTAGTCTGGGGCAAGTCAAAGGCTCTTAGGTCCTGATTTTCTCACGTACTAAAGAGGGTCAGAGATAAACAAAACCATCTTAGAGTCTGACCTCATACAGACAGAGGATTGGAGGCCACCTGCATGGTAAAAATGCAGTGTGAGTGACAACCTTTATTATTTAGAAATGCAAGTAAGGCAGAAGATGGAATAGAATAGGTCAATAATTACCATGCTGCCCAGAATGCCAAGTTTAAAAATAATGCAACCCAGGGGTGCCTGGGTGGCTCAGTCGGTTGAGGTCATGATCTCAGGGTTCTATGATTGAGCCCTGCATCAGGCTCTGCACTTACGATTTTCTCTCTCCCTCTCCCTCTGCCCCTCCCCCCACTCAAAATACATGTGTGTGTGTGTGTATGTGTATATATGTATGTATGCATACGTATAATGCAACTCAGCAAGCAGAGACATATTCTTGGATAAAACATTACTGGATGTCGGGGTACCTGGGTGGCTCAGTGGTTAAGTGTCTGCCTTCGGCTCAGGTCATGATCCCAGGGTCCTGGGATCGAGCCCCGCTTCGGGGTCCCTGATCAGCTTGTGTTCCCTCTCTCGCTGTCTTTCTCTCAAATAAATAAAATCTTAAAAAAAAAAAAAATTACTGGATGTGATCAGTATCCACACCACCTCGTCAGTGTACTGCACTGAGTGATTCTTCTGCCTCTTTGTAATGAGGTCAATACCCCCCTTCCTTGACATATTACCTCGCTGCTTCCCATAAAGGACAGGGACTCTGTTGTTTCCCAACTGTCAGGTGCTAGTGTGTTTGTCGTGTTTGATAAGTCAAAGCTTTTTCAAAAACTCTGAAGCCACTGAATTAAACCCCACCAGACAGACACATTCTTTTTGAGGTGCAGAATAACGGAATAACCGCATGGTTCAATCAGAGCACGGGCTTCTGCCCACCGCCCTGAAGCCAGCCTTCCAACTTGAGGCAATGCCGACGCCTTGCCACGAGGGGCGCTGTCGCCGCTGCCAGGGTCTGTACTGCAATGCAGGCCCCCCACCCCACCCCACCCCCCAGCTCACCCGAGGAGCTGCTATTCTAGAATACACAGGGAATCACGCTGCAGAGTCCTCCTCTGCTCCTTGTCAGCGAGCGGCAGTCACCACACTACTCCCACGGAACCGAGACTGCTCCCAAAATGCTCCTGTTGGAGCTAAACAGACTGCCTTGCAGTTTTCATGACAGCACTTGGATTCCAAGAAGCAGACTGGAGAATGTGTGGGAGAAAAACACATCTTGTGGTTGAGGCATAAATAAATATCCCGAGTTTGCACATCTCAATAGTTTAAAAAGGAACTCCCTGATTTGGCGGAGTGGATTCTCTAGCCTAAAATACCTCCCCTCAGCCCCCTGCCTCAGCCCCAAACCAAGGTGCACCTGAAGGGATGCTGACTCTGACTTTGCATTTTGCAATGAAAGAGAAACGAGAGGGATGGTCCCTGTTCTGTTGCATTTTATAATGAGGAAGAAAGGACAGAAGAGACTGTATAGAAACAACTGTGAAGTGACTTGTAAGCAAGTGCTAAGTGATGGAGACCTTATAGAATGCCAAGGGGATGGAAAGTAAAGAGGGGCCAAGCCAGGGATAGAACTTTAGAATTCTTTCCAAAAAGAGGTGCGTGTGAAAATGGATAATGGATGGGTAGATGCTACCTCATAAAAATGTCCATCTGAAGCAGTCGTTCATTAATGTTTGTTTTTGCAGGGGGAGAGGTCACAGAAGCTCTTTGAGAATTTGACTGAAGCTATTAATTCTCCCAACAACCCACCTTCTCCCCAACCCTCCAAAACAACAGAAAATTTTGTGAAATTTCAAGGGCTCTGAGCCACCTAAAGCCCATCCACGGACACTGAACAGCCTCTGAAACTAAAGTTAAGACCCCCTGATATAAAAGATGAGAAAATGATCACAAAAATATCCTTATTAGCCCGAGATCACACCAAAAAGCAAGGATTCGGTGGGCTGTCCTGCAGAGGCAAGCAATAAAGTTAATACGAAACCAAGGCTTATTTTTAGCCTCATGGTAACATCCCAAGGGAGAGAAAAGGCAAAATTGGGCTCTCGAGAGCTAGGGAAGAACTCTAGTGGAATTTCATCAAAGCCATAAATTGCCCAAAGGCCAGGCTTCATTCACCTTAGCCGGCTACCAAGTCCACAAGCCACAAACAACAAGAGACAGAAAGAAATAGCTAACTTTTAAGGGTTGGCAATTTGTTGCATAATTTCTAGAGTCTGTCCCAGTGGTTCTCAAATTGTGGTCTGGAGACTTCCGGAATCCTAGGAACCCTTCCCGGAAGTCAGTGGAGTCCAAACTACTTTCAAAGTAACACTGTTTTGACAACTGCACTGCAGCAGGTGTAAGGTGTAAAGGAGCCTTGGTATAAATCAAAGCAAATCAAGCTGTCCGCGCGTCCCTGTATTCTTGACTTCCACAGGCTCAGAGTTAAGGAGGGAGAAGGCCGATTTCACTTAAGAATGTCCCTGATGAGAATGCAAGCTGGTGCAGCCACTCTGGAAAACAGTATGGAGGTTCCTCAAAAAGTTGAAAATAGAGCTACCATACGATCCAGCAATTCCACTACTGGGTATTTACCCCAAAGATACAAAAGTAGAGATCCGAAAGGGTCCGTGCACCCCGATGTTTATAGCAGCAATGTCCACAATAGCCAAACTATGGAAAGAGCCAAGATGTCCATCGACAGATGAATGGATAAAGAAGATGTGGTATATATATACAATGGAATAATATACAGCCATCAAAAGGAATGAGATCTTGCCATTTGCAACGACGTGGATGGAACTGGAGGGTATTATGCTGAGTGAAATAAGTCAAACAGAGAAAGACATGTATCATATGACCTCACTGATATGAGGAATTCTTAATCTTAGGAAACAAACTGAGGGTTGCTGGAGTGGGGGGTGGGGTGGGAGGGATGGGGTGGCTGGGTGATATACCCTCCCCAGTGTCTATGCTCTGGTAAGCATTGTGAATTGTGCAAGACTATTGAATCTCAGATCTGTACCTCTGAAACAAATAATGCAATATATGTTAAGGAAAAAAAAAAAAAAGAAGATAGCAGGAGGGGAAGAATGAAGGGGGGGAAATCGGAGGAGTCGACGAACCATGAGAGACAATGGACTCTGAAAAACAAACTGAGGGTTCTAGAGGGGAGGGGGGTGGGAGGATGGGTTAGCCTGGTGATGGGTATTAAAGAGGGCACGTTCTGCATGGAGCACTGGGTGTTATGCACAAACAATGAATCATGGAACACTACATCTAAAACTAATGATGTGATGTATGGGGATTAACATAATAAAAAAAAAAAAAAAAAAAAGACTGTCCCTGATGAAGCAGTAACAAATAGTAATTTTGTTCAGTCTCACGCTTGGGTATGTATCTCCTGACGTTCTGTGATAAGTTGGGAAGAACGCATCAAGTGTTTCTTCTGACCCTGAAGTGCGATGGCGGAAACCACCTGTGTGAGCACTGGAGTCCTAAAGTGAACCAGCCCCCCTTCCTCTTAGAATTCCGTTTTTACCTAAAAGAACTACGTTACACAAATGGTGGTTATTCAGGCTTGAGGATTTGGCAGATACATGATGGAAATGAATGTCACTTCAAGGAAAACAACTAAAAATGTGTGGCTAATGTTAAAATGTTGGCTTTCAAGCAAATATGAGAATTTTGGAAAATAAGCCTCTGCCCCTGTGAGCTTGACAATCTCTCATGTGACGAGATTGCCGGGGATATTAACAATTGTGGGGTTTTTTCCCCTATGGTTTGATGAGGTACATCGACTTTTAGAATGTCTATATAATTCAGTGAACCAATGTTTTTCAAATGACAGGTGCATGATACTTTAAAAATAATGCATGGCTAAAAAAGTCATTTGAAGTGCAAGATAGACCAAGGACTTTCAACGTAACAAAGCACACGAAGTTCACATCATGATACGGCTTCAGATTGCACATTAAAGGGCCTACCCTTTAAGACAAATTCATTTACCAAGTTTTAGTGAATCAAAATTTATTCACAATTAACTGAAAAAGGCTATTAAAATATGCCTGAAAACGTATCTATTTGAGACTGGATTTTCTCCACATATTTCAACCAAAACTACATACTACCACAGACTGAATTCAGAAGTGTATTTGAGAATCCAGCTGTCTTCTGGAAATCCAAACATTAAAGAGATTTGTAAAACTGTGGAACACCACCACTATTCTCACTAATTCTTTTGTTCTGTAAAATAGTTCTCAAAAAAACCAAAACCAAACCACATTATGCTAGCAGTAATAGCTGTTGTCATTTTAAACCAAATACTTTATAATTTTGTTTTAATTTCAAGTATGGTAAATATTCATAAACATAACCCATATGAACAAAAGCTCTTTGGAGTGCTCAATTTCTAAGAGTATAGAGGGATCCTTAAGACCAAAAAATATGAAAACTGATCTTAGTAAGTCCATCAGCTCTGTGAGAAAAACATTACTACTATTTTTCAAATGAACATATGAGGATCCAAAGGTGAAATATCTAACCCAACATGGTCATTCAGGAAGTAGGTAGCAGAATCAGAATTCACACATCGAGGTACAAATTTTGTCTTCATCACGCAAGAATATCCTTC